GACCTGACCTAGGGAGGATTTTATTTGGGGTTTATCTTTTAACAATTTGACAGAGACACAACTTTAAAATTTGATTTAATTCGGTTTTATCGGGGGGGAATGTATTTATGTTTTGTTTTAAATATGTTGTGCGCCGCCCTGAGTCCCGCTGGGAGAAGGGCGGCATATAAATTAAATTTATTATTATTATTATTATTAATACTTAAGACACTTAGAAATAGAAAGAGCGAAAATACTCCAGAGATCTGCTGCTTAAAAAGAGGAGTCCAGTTCTTAATGTTGCTTCCGCTTTTCAGTGACGACGAGCTGTGTCAGATCTTCCTTCGACAGAATGCCTGGGAAATGTTTAAGAAAGATCTATTGAAACTTGTGATGGAACCCAAACTCATGAAGATGGTATATCCTCCACATCCATGCCCTACAGCTGAAGTCTATGATTCCTGGAGTTTGAATCAAGAAGGAGTCTTGGATCTTTCTCCTTTGTGTTACAGAATGCCATATCCACCACCTAAAGTCAAATACGTTCCTGTTCAATTAAGCCAAACAAGAGAAAGTCTACCAGTTATTCTACCAAAGCTGATTCATGGCATCTCAGTTGTGCGTCCCAATTTGGATGGTGCATTTTAATAGCATCAGCGTTTGGATTCATAAGTCAGCCACATAGATGCAGTTCTAAAAGACTGAAGGATGATACTACTTATGTGCTTATGACTATTTGTACATAAATATGCATTTAATTGACAAAGTTTATATTTCTTTCTTTTTATAATTGATTGATACTGTGATTTTTGAGTCTGGTCCATTTCATTTCTTTTCTGATATTGCAGGGAGACAAATTTCTTTTATAAGGTAGATTTCCCCATGCATATTATACATGCATCAGTGAAGTCAGGTTTTGTGTTTAGTGCTGAAATGCTTACATACTACTGTATATTTAATTTATTTTTATTTATTAAATGATTATGCCAGCCATCTCTGCAATAAGATGACTCTGGGTGGCTTAAAGCACAAAAAAGCTACAGGATATCTTGCTCTCCCTCTGCATGCTGATCTCCTGAATCTTGCCATTCTTGAAATATCCTGCAAATTTCATATTAATACAGCATGCATGGTTGAATAAGCGTGACCTACTGTTTCAACATGAGACTGAAAAGGAAACATATACTCCATCATTTTAAGACCAAAAGCTTTATAATCAAATAGCAATATAAACTGCACTGGTTATACTATAAAGTGATTCAGAGTCTTTGGAAAGCCAATAGACCAGAAATGGAGATGTGGCCTTCCAGATCTCCTTAGGTTTCTATTTTTTGCACTGCTACACGTGATGGAAGCTACAGTGTGGAATAAGGGTATTGTGCTTTTAAGGAGAGTTGATAGCCAGCAGATGCCCATTAGACAGCTAGTTCTATTTAGTCCGATTCACTTATATATTTCAATTGTACTCTTTCCTGAGCTGCTTACAATCACCTTACATGTACTGGTTGCTGTGTGTGCTTGGCTCCCTTCATGACTAAAAGAACTTGCTTGTCATCTGAAGTGTCTGGGAACCTCAGAGCCGTGGGATGGTACTGGGCTAATGAAAGCTACTCCGTGTCAAAAGTGAGTGTACGCTAAATGGCCTCACTTCCAATCTCCAATGTCCTTCTCACACCAGAAAACTGCCAATAATTGGCAAAAGTGGCTCCAACGCTTCAATTCAGTCTGATTGTTGGCAGGTCCTAGCAAAAAGAAAATCAACTTCAGGGCTTTGTTTTTGCATTTTGCTTGCAAAGAGGCAGAGGAGATTTATAATCTGTTCCTGTTTACACAGAAGGCAAATAAACAAACAATAATAGACACCTTTCCTGCACATTTTGACCCTAGAAGGACATAACTTGAAAGGCTTTTTTAAAATATCAGAATTCAAGGAGTAAAGGAGATTGTGTTGACTGTATGCCAAAAAGGTTGTCTCAAACATGTGAATTTGGAGAACTGCCTGTGTTGTTTATAAAGGACAAGATTGTGAGCAGTGTACATGGAACTCAACCACCCAGAAAGAGAAATTGTTCATATAGCATGACTTGACCCTGGACGAAGCAGTAAAGATAGTCAGAATAGAGGAATCCTTGATATCTCTAATCCAAATTTTGGAAGCCTCTGGGAGAGATACATGTATTGTTTAAGTTAGCTCAACTTTGGGACAGACATCTTACAGGAAGCCCTCTAGGCTGTAGAAATCTACAAACGTTCTGGCCAAAGTCAACAATAATGTCAACTATAGTAAGAAATATTCTAGGCATTTGTTGGATAAAGGCACTTGTCTTTGTTCGGAGTGGACTTTGGCTAGGCAGATCCAGTTGAAACGGCTGAGTCACAGCCTAGCTTGGTTATCTGGGAGGAGTCTGAGCTGGTCAATTTTGAGAAAGTGGACAGAGGTCCTACTGCAGTGAATTCTGCCACCTGGAGTTTGGACTCATGCCCTTCTCCAAGCCTTGAAAGAGGTGGTGGTTCACCCCCTCCTCAGGAGGCCATCCTTGCACCCTATGGTTTTAGATAACTTTCGTCCAATCTCCAACCTTCCCTTTTTAAGGAAGGTTGCAGAGAAGGAGGTGGGTTCCCAGCTATAGAGGACTTTGGATGAAATGATTTATCTGGACCCTTTTCACTTAGGATTCAGGCTGAGCTATAATATAGATATTGCATTCGTTACACTTATAGATGACTTTTGGAGGACTTAGGATGGGAGTGGTGTATCCATCCTGGTACCTGTGGATCTCTCAGAAGCTTTTGATACCATTGGAATGGTAGTTTGTTGACCAGCTCTGGGGAGTGGGGGCACTGTTTTGCTGTGGTTCGCCTCCCTTTTCCCTGATTGATATTGATCGGCGCTAGTTGGGAAGAAGAGATCCAGCCTTAGGCCCCTTTGTGGGGCTGCCTCAGGACTCAAGTGTCTCTTCCCTCCTATATAATAGTTGGATGAAGCTACTGGAAGAGATCATCCACTGACATGGGACTCGATGTCATCAGTATGGTATACAGTTGGGGAAGGGGTCCATATAAACCCACAGCTCCTGCTGGAAAAATAGATAGCAGTCATGGCCAGAGGGCCTTTTGCACAAATCCATCTTGTGGGCCAATTGTATTAATGGCAAAGCAATCAAATAATACAATTTTCTTTAAAAAAAAAGCAATTCACTGCAGATTTTTATAGCTTCTCTTTAAATATGGATACTTAATAGTCATTGCTGTGTGTTATAAATATGTTGGGTAGGAAGCAAATAATTGTCACTACTTTTAATGTTGGACTTTGAAGAAGCAGGATAGGAAAGGTATCGATGCCTTTGACCTTTGGTGTTGGAAAATACTCCTGAGAATACCGTAGAGAGCCAAGAAAACAAACTGATGGATCATTAAACAAATCATCCAGAGTTCTCCCTCAAGGCACAAATGACCAGGCTCAACTTGTCCTAATTCAGACA